GGTCGCTGATGATCGCCGAAGGGATGCCGTGCAGTCGCACGACCGTCGAGATGAAAAGTCGCGCAGTTTCTTCGGCTGTGATTGTTGTGCGGCATGGTGCGAAGTGCGCCATTTTCGTGAAGCGGTCAACGATGACGAGGACAGCGTCGTTGCCCGTCGGCCCAGCTGGCATCCCCGTGACAAAATCCATTGTCACTTGTTGCCACAGTCGTTCGGGTGGCTCGAGGGGTTGCAGAAGTCCAGCTGGTCGCTGACGTGTCGACTTCATTGCTTGGCACACCCTGCATGAGGACACATATCGATGCACGTCGTTAGAGGAATCAGGCCAGTAATATTGACGGTGCAGTATTTTCTGGGTTTTATCAACCCCGAAATGTCCGGAAAGGTTGGAATCGTGTATCTCCTGGATGAGGAGCTCACGCAGCAGTCGATAAGCGGGGACCCAAATCCGGTCGGTTCCGACTTTTAGGTAATAGTCCCCTCTCTGCGTCGTAGCCTGCTGATGATTGCCCGTTGTGAAGAAGGGGTCTGTCGTGTAGCCGTGGGTGAATAGTCCGGTAAGTAGCGGGTTCGAGTGGGTGATGAGTACTGCAGCGGATTGTACTGTCGGTCGGGTCAGGGCGTCGGCGATGTTATTAGCCCCTTTTTTATACGTGATGCGGTAGGTGAAATGGCTCTCCATGTAGTCGAGCCATCGAATCTGTCGTGGGTTGAGATTGGGTTGGGCTCGCAGGTACTGTAGGGATTTGTGGTCCGTGCGAACAGTGACGTCGGCACCCACCAGGTAGCATCGCCACAGTTTAAATGCGTGTATGATGGCGAGCATCTCCTTGTCGTGGATCGGGTAGTTGCGTTCGGCTGCCTGCAGCTTGCGTGATTCGTAGGCTATCGGCTGCAACCCGTTCCCGAAATCTTGGAGAAGTACAGCCCCGATGGCGAAATCCGAGGCGTCGGTCACGACTTCGAACTGCTTCGATGGATCGGCGATGCGCAGCACAGGAGGGGAAACGAGAAAATGTCTGAGTTCCTGGAAAGCCGCCTCTGCGTCCTCCCCCCACACAAAATTCCTGTCCTTGTGCAGCAGGTCGGTCAGTGGGCCGGTTATCTCCGCCATATTCGGGATAAACCTCCGGACGTAATTAACTAATCCGAGGAAACTCTAGAGTTCCATGAGGTTCGTCGGGGACTTCCACTCCTGTATGGTCTTGATTTTCGCCGGGTCGATTTTGATGCCGTCGCGTGAAATTACGTGCCCCAAAAACTCCAACTCTTGCTTAAAGAATTCGCACTTAGAGCCTTTGGTGATGAGTCGGTTCTCCTGCAGTCGCGTAAACACTGCGTCCAGGTCACTGAGGTGCTGCTCCCGTGTTTTGCTGTAAATGAGGATATCGTCCAAGTAGACGATTACGCATCGGTCTAGAAGATCCCGAAACACCCTGTTCATGGTCACCTGAAAAGTCGAGGGCGCGTTCGTGAGGCCAAAAGGCATCACCGTGAATTCGTAACTTCCGTAGCGTGTGCGAAATGCCGTCTTGTGACAATCATCGGCGAAGACTCGGATTTGATGGTAACCGCCGCGTAAGTCAATCTTCGAGAAGTAGCGAGCGCCACGAAGTTGGTCGAGGAGGTCGTCGGTGCGTGGGATTGGGTAGCGAGACTTGATGGTGACCCTGTTCAGCGCGCGATAGTCAATGCACATGCGAAGTCCGCCGTCTTTCTTCGGGGTGAACAGGATTGGTGCTGCGAAGGGCGAGGTGCTGGCCCGAATGAATCCTTTCTCCAACAGTGCATCGATTTGTCGGCGCAGCTCCTCGAGTTCCGGCTGGGTCAACCGCCACTGTGTTCGAACGGTTGGTTGCGCTCCAGGTTCCAGCTGGATTTTGTGGTCCTCAGGTCTCTCCGGTGGCAGTCCAGGTGGCAGGTCATCGGGGAAGATTTCCGGGTATTTCCGAATCAGCTCCGCTAAATCCGGAGGTACAGCTGCACACAGCTTCTCGATGTCCTTTCCTTCGGTGTCGACTGCCATCTCACGTAAACAAACGGCGAGCAGCTGCGCGCCTCTGTTGAAGTGGCGGGCTATCGTGATGGCTTTGACGCACGGGGCTTGGATGTAGTCAGGTGTCCATGCAGGAAGTGTAATTAGCCCCTCGTGCTTGCTGACGCTGCACGTTCCCGTTGTCCAGTCGATGACGGGGTTGTGCCGTCGCAGCCAATCGCGTCCCAGCAATACGTCGCAGCCATCCAACGTTGTCGCGAGGAACTTCATGCTGAAGCCGAAATCGTCACCGCATTCGATCCTGACCGTCCGTGTTTGTTCCGTTATCGCCAGAGGCGTCCCATCCACAAGGCGAGCGTCGATTTCGGGCAGACACCTGTCAAGTTGCAGCTTGCATTTTTTTGCGCTCGCCAAATTGAAGAGGCTATGACTGGCCCCTCCATCAACGAACATTTTCAGGTTATATTTTAACACCTTGCCAGCGACCAGCACAGGTTGATCCACGTGATTATCCCCGTTATTCGGCCGAGTGCGATCGATTGCATGAATCGGAACCACGACTCGGTGGGGATGGTGGGGTTCGGGTGACGGAGCACAGTCAGTAAAGGGCCCGCTAATTACTGACTCTTCCCATTTCCCTGCTCCTTCCTGTCGTTCCCCGTCAGCGGCGTTTTCTCGTGGCAATCTTTCATGTAGTGACCCGTCTTCCCACACTGGAAACACGGTCCCTTAGGAGGGCGGTCGGGTGTATGGACGGCGTTGATCGTGGTCCGATGGGTCTGGCCACGAAAACGATTTCCCTCCCGGGAAGCTGCTCTTGCGTACTGCATCAGCGGATCTGTGGACTCCGCCAACTGTACGGCTGCAAGAAATGTCGTCGGACGGCTCCTGCGAACCTCGTACTGTATCTCGTATTTGAGGCCACTGATGTATTTATCCAGCCGTTTAGCTTCCGACATGTCATCAACCTGGTCGGCGAGGCTCATAAATGACGCCGTGTAGTCTTGGACAGAAGCCATCTGCGACCATGCACGCAGCTTCATGTGAGCTTGCTCCGAGGCGGATATGTGCTCGAAGCGACCTCGTAAGGCTGCGCCCCACTCCTTCCACGTGCGTATCGTGGTCACTCCGAAGATCGACGTTGCCACTTGATTAGTCACTGTAGAGGTCCCGTCTGCCGCATGTGTCACACCTGTCGGCGTCCCTGTTTCCAAGGTTCGGCGCCACCATTCAAGCGCTGCACCTCGAAGAAGTGAAACTGCGTAATTAATGCGCGTAGCGTCGTCATTAACTCCGGCTGCAATAAAGAAGACTTCGACCCCGAACAGCCACCCTTTTACCGTAACCGTTTTGTCCGTAGGATTAAACGGAGGTGGATTGACGGGCTTGATTTTGATTGTCGTCACTGCTACTGGAGTTGCTGCCGCTTGCTGCCTATCCTCTTCTTCGAAGTCACGTGTGAGCGCATCCAATGGATTCGCCCGACTGCTGCCCTCGCCTTCGTCCACAGGCGACTCCTGACGCGCTTCACCTCGCGTCTGGCGCAGTTCGGCATTTTCCTCTCGTAGTGTCGTCACTTCCGCCATTAACGTCCTCATGCTTTCCTGCATTTCTGCCACTTGCGCCATCATCTTGTTGACAGCGTCCTGATCCATGTACCTAACGCTACGTCTGATGGGCAGTCGGGTCTCCGTGGCCTTCAGGCAAATGAAAACACGAACTATCGGAGTCGGGCAGGATTGAATTAACAATCCCTGCAGCCAACCGTCGTGTAGTCACTAAACCAGCCACACCCTATGCCACCAAACTACCCTCGAAAAAGCGGGGTGAACTAGGAAAGTAGCTCTGATACCAGGTGTTATGAGTTGTAAAAGAGAGTGCGCAGGTAAACGAATAACGAAGCTGTGACTGAATCAACTGCGAATACAATGAATGCCCAGACTAATATAGAACTACGCTAGCTAGGAGAGAACCTCGGACGAGCGGGGTTGGGTGCAGGTTTGGCGATGAGAAAGCCGGAGGCGACGCGAGGAGCCTTGGCAGCGTTGAAATCGGCCGAACGTGCGAACTCCGAAAATCGGGTTGTACGCGAAGCAGTCAACCCCGATAAGGAATCTGGGAAAATTCCTTACAGTTTGTCCCTGAATCAGAACCACAGGTTACGAAGCCAAGACAAAGCTCCCATAGTTACGAAGGGCAAATGAAGGAGAAACCATGTGATCGAAGCCAGCAGAACGACCAGAAATCCAGGCAAATTGCTCGCCACTTACCAGGTCCCACAAAAATAGCGAATGGTAGGATTCAGCTGTGCCTTCTCTTCCAACCAGCCAGCTGCCGTGTGCCGTCCCTTGTGGTTCGCCCTGTAAGGACGAAGTTGTGAACACTGGAGATGGACGGACGAAATTTGAAAGAACTGCAATGGCGAACAAAGCAGACTCAGCTACGGCGAGCGTCCCACTGTCCAGATGCGGGCTTGGCTTGAAAAGCGTCCCTATCGAGCCTGCCTTCTTTTGGTTCTGCGAGATGCCATGGATACTGGTTCGGCATTCCGCGGCACTAAATAATCAAGGCATGCGAGCATAGCTTTCTCGCTCTCAAATGAACCAATTATGGAATCCTTCAAACATGTGGAATCATTCACGGGGGTTCTTTCCGGCCCTTTTCACGAGTCAATGACCCTGTTCGTGCTTCCTTTAGTATCAAAACGAACCGCTTGAGGAGTTCAATTTTGGTGGCAGCGTCATATTCCAACGCTTCGAAATGGCTACCGTGTCGCACATCGTGTCATTCGTTCCGGGAGTATCACGGAAACCAGTATCACCATCTCCGAGCAGGAACATGCCGCGTTATCAGCTGATTCGCTTCCAGACACGAGCCTCACATGCTGAGTGTCATGCGGCTGGCTGCATCGTTAAAAGCTTCAGCAACAGCAGCATCGGCACCAACCGTAACAGCAGCCTCCTTATAAAGAATGATTTTGCAATGAGGCCTTCTGAATCTCGCAATGTCAACCGTGGATGCCGTTGGAGGGGTTGCGTCTGCGTCTTCTCCTGCTGCTGCTGCCAGCAGCTCGCAGTCAGGAGGACCAGCAGTGTCGGAGGCAGTCATTGTGGGAGGAGGTTTGGCCGGCCTCGCATTGGCTATCGGACTCCGTAACATTGGGATTGACGCGCAGGTGGGGTGCTGTTTGGAAGCAGGCATGCTCTGGAATCAGGTATGGTAAGAAAGCTGAAATCATAAAGAAAAAAGAAAGAAAGAAAAAAGTGTTGGAATCCGAAAAAATTTGTTGGATTTATTTAAATAGCTTGACATTATGCTTCATTGTTCTATTCCCATCGTGTTGCGATGTTCATGCTTCTATTGCATATTGTTTTTTGTTTTGTTTTTTTTTTCCTATAACCATCTAACCATAGCATGTAACATATTTTCGTCCTTCTGGTCGTATGCTGTGACTGCCAGTAGGAAACTTTGTGCGCCTTCTCCTCCTCTTCTCTGGATGTATTTCGTTGTTAGCATCCCAGGCTCTTACATGCTACCATCCAACAACATGATAAGTTGTTTTTCACACGCCATGCCATGGTATTTTGTGCCATGCCCAATGCCGTGCCATGCTATGCCTGACGCTACATCCCCACATGCAATGTCTCATGTCACATCCCCACGTGCAGGTATACTAGGCACGGGACGATCCGCAAGGCGAGGAAACCCTCATCACCCTCTATCCCAACAATCTCAGGAGCACGTTTCAAAGCATGTCCTGCAACTTGCCTCATCTCAAATCCTGCTCGCAGGTGTATGAGGCGCGCAGGGAGGTGGGAGGAGGTGAGGGAACCCTCATCGCCCTCTATCCCAACGGGCTCAGGGCTCTCAGCAGAATCGACCCTGCCATCGTGCCCCAGGCATGTGCCAGTTATGCCTGCATGTGACGGTGATGCCTGCATGTGACGGTGATGTCTGCATGAGACGGCGATGCTTGCATGTGATGGTGATGTCTGCATGAGACGGCAATGCCTGCATGTGACGATGATGCCTGCATGTGACAGTGATGTCTGCATGAGATGGTGATGCCTGCATGTGACGGTGATGCGCGCATGTGATGCTGATGCCTGCATGTGATGGTGATGCCTGCATGTGACAGTGATGCGTGCATGTTATGGTGATGCTTGCATGTGACAGTGATGCGTGCATGTGATGGTGATGCGTGCATGTGACGGTGATGCGTGCATGTGACAGTGATGCCTGCATGTGACGGTGACGCCTGCATGTGAAGGTGATGCCTGCATGTGATGGTGATGTGATGCCTGGATGGCTCAGGGCGCTCAACAGATCCGACCTTGTGATTGTGCCCCAGGCATATGCGAGCAATGCCAGAGCCGGTAATAGTTGTGCAAGGGATCAGGCCCTATCGACCTTTGCATTCAACAAGGCCATGGAGTAGAATCAGCAACTAATGCAAAAAACGAATCAGCAATGGTACTAGAATCAACAACCGTTGCTGTGTATTCACTGCCTCTTCCGCTTCCTCTTCCTCTTCTCTCATTTTCTTTTCCAGCTTATTTCCCTCTCAAGTTCTGGCCTCTACTTAACTTCCCTCAAATCATGCTCGGAATGCTCTGCACATTCCTATTTCACCGTTTTCTCCTGTTTCCTCGTTTTCCCCCGTGTCCTCATTTTCACCTGCTTCCTCGTTTTGTGTTGCTTCCCCTTCTCTTTCCCTCGGTTGACATCCCGTGGAGTACCGGGCTCCACCAGTCTCAACCGCTCTCCATCCAGAGATCTCCTTTCCAGTGGGATATTGCGTCCAACATGACCGCCCAGTTCCCCCCCCCCCCCTGCTCACCATCTGATGTTGCTTCCCTCCCGTGACGCATTCCCTCCCGTGACGCATTCCCTCCCGTGATGCATTCCTTCCCTTTGATCTCCTATTCCCTCAGCTGATATCCCGTGGAGTACCGAACCCCATCGTCCTCAGCCGCTCTTTAACTGGCGAGCTTCTTTTCCGGTGGGAGCTTGCGTCCAACATGACCCCCCGCTTTGGCTTTCCCATGCTCTGCATCCGCTGGCGAGAGATACTCGACGTGTTGCACGGAATGCTGCCAAACGACGTTGTCCACACTGGGCATAAGCTTGTGGAGTTTTCACAGGAAGCAGAGGGGAGTGGTGAGGGGAGCGGTGCAGCCACGAAGAGTGCCTCGGTACAATGCGTTTTTCAGAAGGTTTCCGGTGGTGAAGAGCAGTTGGTGGAGGTGGAGGTGAGTGGGGGGAAGGGAGAAAAGGGTCTTGTGATCGGTGTCTTGTGATCGGCCATGGCAAAGGGTGGGGTGGGGTGATGACGTGGAGTGATGATGTGGGGTGATGACGCGGAGTGATGGCGAGGGGTGATGACGTGGGCAACGGTCTCTCTTAATCGTTCATCTGCCTCCTCCTTTTCTTCTCTCCCAAATTCAGCATTCACCTTCTGCCTCCTTGTACCTCGTTCCACCACATTTCACCCCTTCTTTTCTTTTCCCCCCCATCCTCCAGACCCCGCTGTTGCTGGGGGCAGACGGCATTCACTCGGAGGCACAGAAGCATCTGCTGAGCGGTTCAGCAGAAGGCAAGGGAGTGAGTCCGCGGGACAACGGTAGAACCATCTGGAGGGCCATCATTGACAGCAGCCTCTGCCCGCACCCTGTATGTTCCTCTCTGCTCCCAACCACTGAGTGTCTCACATGCCCAGCTATGTGCTTCTCGGTTCCCACCCCGCGTGTGCCTCCTCTTGGTCTGCTGAAGCCACACTTTATTCACAAACCATGATCGGTACTCGATTACACCTCAGCTTGCTGCGGGCTCGCAAAAGCGACGCACACAGTATGGTTAGTCGCAAGTGCTCTCTGTCTGCCTGCTGAGAGTTCTCAAGGTGACTTTGAGTCGACGTGAAAGTCAAGTGCCCTATGTCTGCCTGCTCACGAAACTCAAGGTCCCTTTTGAGTCGACCAGAAGGTCAAGTGCTCTCTGTCTACTGAGGGCTCTCAATAAGCACACACAAACAATGCTCAGTGTCAAGCCAACCTCACAGTAGCTGCTCTACAATTGATCATAGAGCAGGCAGGCTATTGCTGCTACATAATTTTTTTAAGCTGACAGCCTTTGAAACCAACTAGCATCTGCTGTAGATTTGATCATAGAGAAGGCAGGCTATGCCTGCTACTAGACTATCCCCTCCTTTCATCCTTCTCCCTTCTTACGGCCTTTCCCTCTTGCAGCTGCTGCAGCCACGTCACGCACTCACTTTTCTTGGCGTCAAACGCATGGTAGCCTTTGTCGACTCTGGAGCAGAAAAGCTCTACTGGGTTTTAACTCTCAACGATTCCGCCGATCCGACGGTCAGCAGCGCGCGGTCCAGCGGGGGGGAGGAGGCGCGGGGGAAGATCCTGCGGGCGTTTGAGGGATGGGATGTGGTGGAGCAGGTGGTCAAGGCTACTCCCCCCGATCTCATTCTCGAGCGCCGCGTGCTCGACCTCCCGCCCCTGCCGTTCTGGGTCCACGAGAGCACCGCTCTTCTCGGAGGTACGCCTGGGGCGATGGTGTGTGGGATTCGGTGCAGGTGGGAATAAATAGTTATTGTATAAGGGCAGTCTATGTGAGTGTGTCATACTGGGAGTTACAGCCGGGGTGATCTCAGGTGGGATTTTACGTACGACACCTTATTTCATAGATGGTTTGACAAGGAAATATCTAAGCAACGATTTTGGATGTTTGAAAATGGGGAGGTCCTATGGAAAACACATTCACAAGCAGCACTACGTGCAGCAATCTGACAATCTAAATATACATGCCAAGGCTTTCTGTCAGCACTACCTGACAACAAAGTTCAGCTCATTGGCATGACAATGTGCCAAGTTCTGTAGTGCCCCATTCTGCTCCTGTGCTTAGTCGTTTGGTTGGTATGTCCTTGTGGCAGTGCTGAATTAGACCCCTGAATTATGGCCAGAAATAGAGCAGTGGGCCAGTCTTCTTACGCTCGTGTTTCACTCCCCATATCTTCCCTGCCTTTCCTGGATTACCCTCCGCCTGTCCAGATGTGGCGCATGCAGTGACGCCAGGGCAGGGCGCTAATATGGTGTTTGAGGATGCGGCGCAGCTGGTGGAGTGCCTTCGGGTACACTCGCATGCCAGGTGGGTTCTCAGGTGGCTTGTCAGGTGGGTTGTCAGGTTGGTTGCCAGGTGGCTTGTCAGGTGGGTGCTATCGCATGCCGGGTGGGTGTAATGGCATGCTTTTTTTTTTTTTGCTTTAGTGCTTGTTTTCTATTGCTCCATTGCGCCATGGTGCATTCGCGTAGTTTTGCATCCACCCACCCTCCCTCTCTTCCTCTCGTCGTCCTGCCCTCCCAATCCCCCTTTGTTGCATCATTAGTGGTAAACCATCCTCCTCACACCCTTACTGCTGCCTCACCGTTCCTCCTTAAACCCCCATGTCATCCCAAAACGGTACCTAAGAGTGAGACGGTCCAAAGCAACATTTCCTCTCCCTCTCCTTCCCATCCCTTCCAGTGATGTTCTTTGCTCCTTCCAATCCCTCCACATGCCACAAGGGGGTCTTCGAAACGCCAAACACACCCCTCCCCTCTCCCTCTCCCCCTCTCTCTCCCCATTCTCCTTCCCATCCCTTCCAGGGACGCTCTCTGCATGCCACGAGTGCAAGCGGTGGCATCTCGTCACATTTGTCTCTCCCTTGCTTGCTATATCTCCCTTGCTATTATCCATCCTCCTCCCTCCCTTACTGTTGTCTCACCCTTCCTACTCTAACCCCTGTGTTAACCCAAAATGGCATCTGAGAGTGAGACGGTGATGCACTTTGCTCCTTCCAATCCCTCCGCATGCCACGAGTGGGTCTTCGAAACGCTTCAACCGCATGCCCCCCCCCCCCCCCCCCCCCCCCCCCCCCCCCCCCCCCCCCGCTTCTGCTACCCTACACTTCCAGTGACGCGCTTCACTCCTTCCAGTCCCTCCGCATGCCACGAGTGCAAGCGGTGGCATCACGTTACGCTGCCGCCTCAAAGACGATTTATGGCGCCAAGAAAGAGAAGAAGGCAGCAGTGAATGGGGGAGGAGCAGGCAGTGATCGAAGTGAGGAGGATGAAGTGCCAAAGATTGAAGAGGTTCAAGCGGCAATGGCTGCAGTGGCGGCACGAGAGGGGCGTGATCCTGATGTGGATCTGTATGGTTATGACATCGTGGTTTGGGAGGGGGAGGATCGTCGTGTTGCGAGTGTTCTGCACCAGTAACGTGTCCTTGTTAAAGAACTTCGTCATCACAAGGGGGCTTGGTCATCACATCGTGGTTCTAGAAGAGGATTTTCTAGTTACAAGTGCTGTGTTCTGATTTGGTGTGCATTCACAAACCCACAGTGATGCTCTTCAATGCGCCTCATGTGATGCTGGCGAGGTACTCTATGCTTGCCTTGTGAGTCTGTCATGTTGCTGCAGTGAGGCAATACGTGTTGCCTCATAATTTACGCAGTTTTCTTTTTTGCTTGCCATGCATACAACTTTTCCACTTTCGCTCAGTCTGTACAGAGCACAGTCAGAACCCTTAGGCACCCATGGTCCTACACCTAACTGCATCCGACCCGACCCAGCCCAGTCTTTCCAGGCATCAACAGGCAGGTTTAAATGAAATTAGAATAGCTGTGGGTTGTCAGAAATCACCTGCAATATTGGTGTAAGAGTTGCTATTACAGAACACTTTTTTGTACCAAATAGCCTACAAAAGGAGAGTAATGCGGTGGACTGTGCGGTTGAAATGCTGATGTACTAGTTAGGTAATTCGCGCCGAGTTGATGGTAACCACCAAGGAGTGATGGCTACTGCGAACAAGCCCGCAAGATCCGATGGGTTCGATCGAGCCACGTGGCTGACTGCGGGGCGGATGTCAGTGCGCTCGAGTGACCCCAGCGGTAATGCCCCAGATTCCGAACCACCACCTGTTTTCCGGGCCTTGGGTCTGGCCCAGGTCGGAGCCACAGGTTCTGAATCGGCTTGGAGCCAAGCCAAGCCTAGCCAATCTCCCATAGCTACGGCGAATGAACGAGAAACCATGTCGAACCAAACCCTTGTGTTTCCAGAATTCCAGGCAAAATTGGCTTCACTTCCCTGATCCCACCCAGATCCTGAAAGCAGCTGTTACTCGCAACTCTGGAGATGGAAGGACGATATTGGATTGGAACCGCAATGGCGAAACAAAGCAGACACAACGAGCCATCCCACCCGCGGGCTGTCCAGATGCGGGCTTGGCTCGACAAGCGTTCTTACCGAGCCTGCCGCCTCGGTGTGCGAGATGTCGTGGACTGATTCGGCATTCCGGGGATACGAAGGAATCAAGGCCTGCTGGAATATATTCGCGGAAATAGCAGCCACAGATTTCTCAAGCCTTCAAATGAGCCGATTCTGGAATCAATCTAGCATTAGGAGTCATTCACGGGAGGTCTTTCTCGCCCTTTTCACCATTCAGTGACAAGTATGCGTGCTTCCTTGTTGATAGTATCGAAACGAACCGCTTGAGGTCTTCAGTTTTGGTGGCAACGTCATAATCGAACGCTTCGGAATGGCCACCGTGTCGCACGTCGTGTCAACCGTTCCGGGAGTAACACGCATCTCAACCGTCCGTCTCGTGAATCCGCGGGATACAGCGTCACCATCACTGAGCAGAAACCCGCGTTCTCATCTGATTCGTTTCGAGAAACGAGCCTTACATGCTGAGCGTCGTGCGCCTGGAAGCATCGGTAAAGGCTTATCCGTTAGCAGCAGTACCAGTAACAGCCTGTTGAGCAGCCTCTCTATCTTCAAGGAACGCGTTTTTGCGGCGAGGGGGTCGTTTGGGACTCGCAATGTCAACCGTGGAGGCTTTTGGCGGGGTGTTGTTGCCTCTGCGTCTTCTCCTGCTGCTTCGGCGAGCAGAAAGGGCGCAAGGGGGACAACAGTGTCGGAGGCAGTGATTGTGGGTGGAGGATTGGCCGGCCTCGCAACTGCTATCGGCCTCCGAAACATTGGGATTGACGCGCAGGTGTGGTGGTAACTGGAAGCTGTAATCCACTAGGTAAGAATGCTGGAATGAGGAAGAAGTGCTTGAATAAAAAATGAAGTGCTGGAATCAGGAAACGTGCTGGAATCAGGGAAAAGTGCTAAAAGCAGGCAAGTTTGTTGGAATCAGTAAAAGTGCTGGAATCAGGGAAAAGGTGCACTTGGGTAAAAGTGATGGAATCAGGGAAACGTGCTGGAATCAGCTAAGATTGTTGGAATTGTAAATAGCTTGCCATTGTTTCCATCAGTCCTGTTTCGTATTGCTTTACCCTTCGTTGTTTCATTCCCGTTGTGTCTGCCTGTTGCATTGTGGGGTTCATGCTTCAAATGCATTCCATGTGACACGTCACAACTGCATGTAACGTGTTGATAATGCTCTGGTAATGCTCTGTGGCTGCAAATGGGAATGCTGTGCGCCTTCTCCCATCCTCTCAATGTATCTCGTTGCATAGCATCCCAGTCTCTACATACCATCCATGTGCAGGTAAAAGAGGGATGGGAAGAGGTGCGAGGGGAGGCCTTTGAGACGCCTCAAAATCCATATTGTTCCTGCCTCATGCCCATGCCACATGCCATGCCTCATGCCTCATGTCACATCCCGAGGTGACTTTTGAGTCGACTCAAATGCCATGCCTCATGCCTCATGTCACATCCCCACGTGCAGGTATACGAGGCACGGGATGAGGTGATAGACGGGGGAACCCTCCTCACCCTCTTTCCCAATGGGCTCAGAGCGCTCACCAGAATCGACCCTGCCATTGTGCCCCAGGCATGTGATGGTTATGGCTGCTGCTGATGCTGATGAATGCACAGGGAGCCGGTACTAGCTGTTCATCATTGCTCTCGTCTCCTGTTTTCTCATCTCCTCCTGTTTCCACGGCTTCTCCTGTCTCCTCGATTTATGTAGTTGTTATCTCCTCTTTCCCTCCATTAATATCCCGTGGAGTACCGAAACCAACCTGCCTCAACCGCTCTCTCAAACCAGCGATCTCCTTTCCTGGGGGAACCTCTTGTGCAACATGCCCTGCAGTTCAGCTTCCCCATGCTCACCATCCGCTATTGCTTGCCTCCCTTTCCTTCCCTTCCCTTCCCTTCCTTTCCCTTTCCTTCCCTTCCCTTCCTTTCCCTTTACTTCCCTTCCCTTCCTTTCCCTTTCCTTCCCTTCCCTTCCTTTCCCTTCCCTTCCCTTCCCTTCCCTTCCTTTCCCTTCCCCTCCTTCCCTTCCCTTCCCTTCCCTTCCTTCCCTTCCCTCCCCTTCCCTTGGCCCATTTTCATTCGTCTCTGCTTTCTCTCAGCTGATTTCCCGTGGAGTACCGGACCCCATCAGTTTCAACCGCTCTCCAACGGGCGATATCCTTTTCCGGTTTGAACCCGCGTCCAGCATCACTGCCCGCTACGGCTTCCCCATGCTCTGCATCCACTGGCAAGAGGTGCTCGATGTGCTGCGGGGAATGCTGCCAAACGATGCCGTTCACAACGGGCACAGGCTCGTGGAGTTTACACAGGGAGAGGAGGAAGAGGGGAGCAGCGCAGTGAAATGCGTTTTCAAAAAGGTTTCGGGCGGTGAAGAGCAGTTTCTGGAGGTGGAGGTGAGTGGGAAATGGGAGGTGGAGAGGGGAGGAAGGTGGGGTGAGGGATTGTTTTGTGTTAAGGATGAGACGTGGGGAGGGGATGGCGGAGTGGGGGAAAGGGAGGGAAGGGTGGGTTGAGGGCCAAGGGTGGGGTGGGGGGAGGTGACAAGTAATGTCATCTCAGTGTCTTGTCATTGGCCATGGCAAAGGGTGTGTGGGGTGATGATGAGGGGTGATGACACCATTCTTCGCCCATTCCTCTCTTTCCCCCCCCCGTCCTCCAGACCCCGTTGCTGCTGGGGGCAGACGGCATTCACTCGGAGGCACGGAAGCATCTGCTGAGTGGGGCAGCAGGCGAGGGAGTGAGTGCGCGGGACAACGGCAGAACCATCTGGAGGGCCATCATTGACAGCAGCCTCTGCCTGCACCCTGTACGTGCCCCTCCTCCCCCACCCGGTGTGTGCCCCTTAGTATCACGTCTCTGTGAAGGTAGACTATCCTCCCATTCTTGACTTTTGAGTCGACTCAAAAGTTAGTAGGCAGGGCCGGAGGGCTATGCTGGCTAGACTATCTATCTCCCATTCTTTCCTTCTCCCTTCCTTCCCGACCTTCCTTCTGGCAGCAGCTGCAGCCACAACACATGCGGATTGATTTGAGAATTCTCAATCATTGTTTAGAATTAGTGAAGTTACTCTGCACCACACTCGGCCATGCAGCAGCTACTTATGGTTTTGCAATCGCTACCGACTGTGGAGCAGGCACGCCCTGTCTGGTTGATTATCCCGTACCTGGCCTTCACTTTTTCGGCCTTCACTTTCCCGGAATTCACTTTCCCGGCCTTCACTTTCCCGGCCTTCCCTTCCCTTACTGCAGCTGGTGCAGCCACGTCAGGTAAATACAATACTCGGTGTCAACCGTACTGCAACCGCCGCCGACTGTGGAGCAGGCAAACTCTTCTGGGCGTGTACACTCATTGATTCCGCCGATCCGAGGGTCAGCAGCGCACGATCCAAGGGGGGGGAGGAGGTGCGGGAGAAGATTCTGCGGGCGTTTGAGGGGTGGGATGTGGTGGAGCAGGTGGTCAAGGCCACTCCCCCCGACCTCATCCTTGAACGCCGCGTGCTCGACCTCCCGCCCCTGCCCTTCTGGGTCAAAGGCAGGACGGCTCTCCTGGGAGGTACGGTTGTCCTGGGAGGTATGGCACTCCTGGGAGGTATGGCACTCCTGGGAGGTATGGCACTCCTGGGAGGTATGGCACTCCTGGGAGGTATGGCACTCCTGGGAGGTATGGCACTCCTGGGAGGTATGGCACTCCTGGGAGGTATGGCACTCCTGGGAGGTATGGCACTCCTGGGAGGTATGGCACTCCTGGGAGGTATGGCACCCCTGGGAGGTATGGCACCCCTGGGAGGTATGGCACTCCTGGGAGGTATGGCACTCCTGGGAGGTATGGCACTCCTGGGAGGTATGGCACTCCTGGGAGGTATGGCACTCCTGGGAGGTACGGTACTGCTCGAAGAGACTGTGTTGCAACGTTACCTTTTCCTTGAAACAGTAACTAAATTTCCATTCGACTATGAATGTTAGCAGAATTGGGTACTACAGAAGCTACTTTCTCAGATTACCTAAAGACAAAAGCAACATCCAGAAACTTGCTCAAGAATCTTGCTTTCTCGGATTACCAAAAGACGAAAGCTACATCCAGAAACTCGCCCAAGAATCTTGCTTTTGTAACCGACATCTACTGGTGCTCTTGTGCTCAATGTGCTGCTGGTGGCGCTGCTGCTGGTGCAGGAGATGTTAGGTCCTCTTGATGCGGGAGCTAGTTCTCCACGTCGAATCCGACGTAAAACATTTGGTGCTCGTGGCATTGCTTCTGGTCATGTTGGTCCTCTTGATGCTGGAGCTAGTTCTCAGTTTCGAATCCGACATGAAAAAGTTCGAAACAATTTGCGAATGCAGTTTCTGTACCACCACATTCCGGTACCATCCGTAGTTGATTGCATTGGGTCAAGGGGCCAATCTTCTTCACCACTTGGTTCCCATTTTGATATCTGTACTTCCTTCCCTGCGCTGCCCTCTGCCTTCCCTGCGCTGCTCTCTACCTTCCCTGTATTACCCCCTGCCTTCCTTACTCTGCCCTCTTCCTGTCCCCCCTGCCCTCTGCCCTCCCACCTGTGTGTCCAGATGCGGCGCATGCAGTGACGCCAGGGCTGGGGCAGGGCGCCAATCTGGCGTTTGAGGATGCGGCTCAGCTGGTGGAGTGCCTCCGGGGAAAGACCCATGTCAGGTGGGTGCTGCATTTCTCAGGAGGGTGCTGCATTTGTGAGGAGGGTGCTGAATTTGTGAGGTGGATTGTCAGGTAGGTTGTCAGGTGGGTGTAGTCGCATGGCGGGTGGGTTTAATGGCATGCCATTATTTCCGCACTAGGTGATTACCACATGCTGGGTGTTCCCGTTGTTTCCATTGCACCATGGTGCATTCCCATGATCTTTCGTCCACTCACCCTCCTTCTGTCCCTCCCTTCGTCTTGCCCTCCCACCCCCCCTCTTTTGCCTCGTCTCTCCCTGGCTATTATCCATTATCATCCCTAATAACTGCCCTTTGCCCTGGCCATAACCCATTCTCATCCTATCCAGAGTCGCTCTTCGCTCCTTCCAATCCATCCGCATGCCACGCGTGCAAGCGGTGATATCACGGAACGTCACCCACACAAAGAAGCAGTATGATGCAGGAAGGAATGGGAGGAAAGCGGGCGGCGATGGAAATGACGCAGATGGATTGTCAGAGACTGAAGGTAAACAATCGCCATTGGCAGCGGCTGCGGCACAAGAGGGGAGTGATCCTAATGAGGACCTTTTTGGCTACGATGTTGTGGTTCTGGAGGAGGATCCTCGTGTTGCAAGTGTTGTACAGTGAATTGTCTTGAGATGTCTCATTACACAAGGGGCCATGATACTAATGAGGACCTTTTTGCTAGTACGTCATGGCTTGGGAGGATCCTCGGGTTGTGTGTCTTGTGCTGCGATTTGTTGCTGTTTTGACTGGTGGTGGTGTGATGCTGAGAAGATCCCATCATTGTTACTAGGGTGTTGCGGATTGGGAGGGGGATGGTTGTACTGCAAGTGTAGTGTGATCCGTAGCTGTATGTGCAGTGATGCATTTCAATCCGTCTCGTTTTCTAGGGGGTGTGCTGCCTCATTTAAAAAAATGGTCCGCTTCAATATCTCAGCCTCTACAACAGTGTTTCAAAAACGGTGAATGATTCTTTTGTGAGACGTTGGTGATACTTGCCCATATAGGTGCATCATTTTAGCTGCCATATTGTATATTTCACTTCCCTTCATTTTTCTAATGCTCTTCTGTACGTAAGAAATATTTCCATGTTTTCTTTTCTCCCCTTAGTACGCCATTTCGTAGAGGAGCGTACCCTTCATACGCATTCCAAACCCGAGCCTCATCCCCAGCCAGGCTCGGCTGTCCGTAGCACAGCAAACAATACCTACCTAGCCAGTTCAGTTCTGCCCCAGGAACCACAAATTCTGGTTACGAACTAGGCTCGTTCTCCCCGAGGCAAGCCACATCCCCCACAGCGAAGGGTGTGTTCGAATTGAACAGCCAGAGCCTACCACACACAGATTCTTCAAGCTGCTTGTCTTTGAGTTACTAGGGTTGCCTAACCAGAATTCTAGGTAATTTATGAATTTGTGATGGCTTTCCAGATCCTACCGACCAAGCTACTCTGTTACGTAGCTGCTTGTGATTCGTCCAGCTCCCGAATGGAAGGACGAGATGAAACGAAACTGCAATGGCGAACAAAACGGAATGCAGCCGTCCTGCCGTGAGGTATCTCACATGCCAGCTCAGTTTGAGAACCTTCATTGCCTATGGAGCCTGCCGCCTTTTGGTCTTCGAATCATGCTACGGATGCTGGTTTGGCATTCTGGTCCGGAGACACTAAACAGCCACGGTTTCCGCAAGCCCCTTAATCTTACCTTCTAACCTTGGGGGTCATTCACGGGAGTATCCTGCCAGACCTTATCACCCAGTCAGTGACAGAGTTTTCGTGCTTCCTTCATAATATACGGAACGAACGGCTTCAGTTTTTGAGCCAGCATCATAATCGAACGCTCCGGTAGTATGGCGGCCATGTCGCACATCGCGTCGGCCGTTCCGGGAGTATTGCGCATCTCAACCGTCCATGTAGTGGACCAGCGGGAAACAGCGTCACCATCTCTGAGCAGGAATTTGCGTTATCAGCTGACTCATTTCAAAATTCAAGCCTTACATGCTGAGTGCCGTGCGTCTGGCATCAATAAAAGCTTCAGCAGCAGTAGCATCAGTAGCAGCAGCTTCTTGACTAAGCGTTTTTTTGCAGCAAGGCCGTCTGGAACTCTCAATGACCTTAGTGGCTCTCGGAAGGTTGTTGCTGCGTCTGCGTCTGCGTCTGCTCCTGCTGCTGCTGCTGCTGCTGCTGCTGCTGCGAGCAGCTCGCAAGGACCAGCAGTGTCTGAGGCAGTCATTGTGGGTGGAGGGTTGGCCGGCCTCGCAACTGCTATTGGCCTCCGGAACATTGGGATTGACGCGCAGGTGGGGTGCTACCTTAAAGCTGGAATTGGGTAGGAATGCTTAACATTGGGATTGACGCGCAGGTGGGGTGCTACCTTAAAGCTGGAATTGGGTAGGAATGCTTAACATTGGGATTGATGCGCAGGTGTGGTCACCCTACCTTAAAGCTGGAATTGGGTAGGAATGCTTAAGTTTGGGATTGATGCGCAGGTGTGGTCACCCTACCTTAAAGCTGGAATTGGGTAGGAATGCTTAACATTGGGATTGACGCGCAGGTGGGGTGCTACCTTAAAGCTGGAATTGGGTAGGAATGCTTAACATTGGGATTGATGCGCAGGTATGGTCACCCTACCTTAAAGCTGGAATTGGGTAGGAATGCTTAACATTGGGGTTGAGGCGCAGGTGGGGTGCTACCTGGAATCAGGGAAATATGTTGGATTCAGGTAAGATTGTCAAATAAAGTGAATAGCTAGACATTACGATTCACGGTTAGAATGCATATGGCATAATTGTTCCATGTAACATGTGACCATTGCATGTAACATGTTATAGCGCATATGGTTGTGCGCTGTCATTGCAATGAAAATGTCTGTGTACTTTTCCGCGTATGTCGTCGCATGGCATCCCAGTCTCAACATACCATCCATGCGACAATAAGAAGAATTGAGTTTCACATGCCATGCCATGCCATTCTGTGCCATGCCTGCTATCCCATGCTATACCTGATGCCATATGCCCAAATCTAGGTGTACGAGGGAAGGGATGAGGTGCGAGGGGTGGTCTTTTGAGACGTCCAAACCAAAAAGCCTTTCCAATATATTCCTCATGCCTCATGTCACTTGCCATCCCTCATGCCACATCCCCATGTGCAGGTATACGAGGCACGGGACAGGGTGGTAGGCGAGGGAACCCTCATCACGCTCTATCCCAACGGGCTCAGAGCACTCAGCAGAATCGACCCTGCCATTGTGCCCCAGGCATGTGCCAGTGATGTATGCATGTGATGGATGTGGCTGTTCTGTGATGGTGATGGTTATCGCTGCGTGTGGGAGTAATGGCTGCATGTGATGGTGATGCTGGCAGCATGTGATGGTGATGCATGCATGTGATGGTGATGCCGGCATGTGATGGTGATGCCGGCATGTGATGGTGATGCCGGCATGTGATGGTGATGCCGGCATGTGATGGTGATGCCGGCATGTGATGGTGATTCATGCATGTGATGGTGATGCATGCATGTGATGATGATGCATGCATGTGATGGTGATGCATGCATGTGATGGTGATGCATGCATGTGATGGTGATGCATGCATGTGATGGTGATTCCGGCATGTGAGAGCCTGTAACTCCTAACCAAATTCTGGACCTCACCTGTTTCAACTTCAAATCATGCTCGGAATTTTCTTGTCTTACTCTCAAGCACCTTCAATCGATGCGCAGAATGTTCTTCGCAGTCCCCATTCGCCATCCATGTGATCTCCCATTCTCCTCTTTCCTCCAACTCATATCCCGTGCAGTACCGAATTCCACCGTTCTCAGCCGCTCTCCAACCCGCGATCTCTGTTTCCAATGGGAGCTCGCGTTCCCCTTGATCGCAACACTTAGGCTTTCCCATGCTGCCCATTCGCTGTTGCTTGCCTCCTTTCCCTCCCTTGCCCCATTCCCTTCCGCCTCTTCTTCCCCGCAGCTCATATCTCGAGGAGTACCGGACCCCACCATTCTCGGCCGCTCTCCAATCGGCAATATTCTTTTCCAGTGGGACCTCGCGTCCAATTTGAGGCTTTCCCTCCCTTTACCCATCCCCTTTCGCCCCCTATTTCCCGCAGCTCATATCTCGAGGATTACCGGACCGCACCATTCTTGGCCGCTCTCCAACCGGCGATATTCTTTTCCAGTGGGACCTTGGGTCCAACATGACGGCCCGGTTTGGCTTCCCCCTGCTGAACATCCTTTGTTGTTCGCCTCCTTCCCTTCCTTGCCTCCTCTTCCCCTCAGCTCATAGACCGAGGAGTACCGGACCCCACCATTCTCGGCCGCTCTCCAACCGGCAGTATCCTTTTCCAGTGGGACCTTGGGTCCAACATGACTGCCCGGTTTGGCTTCCCCCTGCTGAACATCCGCTGGCAAGAGGTCTTAGACGTGTTGCTTGGGATGCTGCCGAACGACGCCGTCCATGCCGGGCACAGGCTCGTGAGGTTCACGCAGGAAGAGGAGGAAAAGGAGGGGGGAGGAGGTGCTGAGGGGAGCGGCTCGGTGAAATGCGTGTTCAAGGAGGTTTCGGGCTGTGAAGAGCGGTTGCTGGAGGTGGAGGTGAGTGGGGGAAAGGAGGTGGAGAGAGGAGGAAGGTGGGGGATGGTGGCAAGACAATTACTATCTGATTTCAGAATTCTCAGAATGTCTGGTTGGTGCAGGCATCTTGTCATTGCCCACACAAAAGGGTGGGTGGGGTAAGGAAGGATGGGTGGGGTACGGAAGGGTGGGTGGGTGGGGTGAGGAAGGGTGGGTGGGTTAATGACGAAGACATTTGTCTCTGCCATGCTCTCTCCCTCGTTGTGGCACCTACTTCTACCTCTCTCCACCGCACTTGTCTGGCATTTCCTTCCCTGAACCTCCCCGACTGCCAGACCCCTCTGCTGCTGGGGGCAGACGGCATTCACTCGGAGGCACGGAAGCAGCTGCTGGGCGGGACAGCAGGCAAGGGAGTGAGTCCGCGGGACAACGGCAGAACCCACTGGAGGGCCATCATCGACAGCAGCCTCTGCCCTCACCCCGTATGTGCCCCTCTTTTGAGCCGAGTCAAAATGTGTCATGTGCCATTGTAACGAGGTGACTTTTGAGTCGACTCAAAAGACAACGTGCCCCTTGGCCCCCCACGTATGCGCCCACTCCCCCCACCCAAACTGCATTGTGTGCTTTCTATGTGTGATGGTGTTTGAGCCTACTGAAAAAAATGCTTGTGTGACAGCTTTTGAGTCTCTAAAAAAATCCATGGTTCTATCCCATTCCTGGCCTTCCCTTCCCTTGATGCAGCTGGTGCAGCTACGTCAGGTAAACACCATTCTCGGTGCCGACCGCACTGCATCCGTGTTTTGAGTCGACTCAAAACACGACTCGGCCTTCCCTTCCCTTTCCCTTCCCTACCAGCAGCTGGTGCAACCACGTCAGGTAAACACCATACTCGGCGTCGACCGCACTGCAACCGCCGCCGATGCTGGAGCAGGCAGGCTCTACTGGTCGTGCACACTCTGTCAGGTTACTTACCCCTTACCTGCCCCCCTTCCTGCAGCTGGTGCAGCCACGTCAGGTGAACACCATTCTCGGTGCCGACCGCACTGCAACTGCCGCCGATGCTGGAGCTGGCAAGCTCTACTGGTCGCTCGCGCTCGTTGATTCCGCCGATCCGACGGTCAGCAGCGAGCCGTCCAACGGAGGGGAGGAGGCGAGGGAGAAGATTCTGCGGGCTTTTGAGGGGTGGGATGCAGTGGAGCAGCTGGTGAATGCCACTTCCCCTGAGCTCATTCGCGAGAGTCGCGTGCTTGACCTTCCGCCCCTGCCCTTCTGGGTCCATGGGAGGGTAGCGCTCATGGGAGGTATGATACTCCTGGGAGGTACGGATCTCATGAGAGGTATGGCTCTCCTGGGTGGTGTCCCCAAAAGGTTATGTACATGTGGCCAACTCCTCCACGCGTATTCCCTGTTTTTTGTGATACAGGTTTGTGTGGCGCCGCGCCCCCGAAAAGGTTATGTACACGTGAACAACCTCTGCACGCTCATACCCTGTTTTCTGTGGTACAGCGCTCACACGCACAGGCAGAGGTCAACTGCTTCGTTCTTGATTCCACTTCTGCTTGCTCTCTGCCTTCCCCACATTTCCCTCTGCTTTCTGCCCGTCTGCCTGTCCAGATGCGGCGCATGCAGTGACACCAGCGCTGGGGCAGGGCGGCAATCTGGCGTTTGAGGATGCTGCTCAGCTGGTGGAGTGCCTCCGGGCGCACTCACATGTCAGGTGAGTTGTCAGTTCAGGTGGGTGTGATGGCATCAGGTGGGTATGATAGCATACCAGGTAATTGCCCGCCGTTGTTTCCACTTAAGGTGCTTGTTCTCTATTGTTCTTTTCCAGGCGTTCTTTTAAAGAATTTTCAGAAGACTCTCCAAGATGACTCTGTCCCTCCCCGTTGTGGCAGGCTTTTTTTTGTAATATTCTGAAACGGCTTCCCGAGATATATGTTTTCCTCCCCCCCCCACCCTCCTTCCCATCCCTTCCGGTGATGCTCTTTGCTCTGTCCAATCGCTCCGCATGCCATGAGTGGGTCTTTGAAACGCCTTTAAAGCACAACCACTCCTCCCCTCTCTCCCCCCTCCCTCCCGCCTCCGTTTCTGCTTCCCATTTCTTCCAGTGATGCTCTCCGTTCCTTCCAATCCCTCCGCATGTCACGAGTGCAAGCGGTGTCAGCACGGAACACTGCTCAAACAAAGAAGGTGTTTGACAAGGAGAGAGAGGGGAAAGAGGGGAAAGAGAAGAATGCAGCAGGTAGTGATGAAAGTGAGGCGAAAGCAGCGCCAAAGATCGAAGAAGTTCAAGCGGCATCGGCTGCAGTGGCAGCAAGAGAGGGGCGTGATCCTGACGAGGAGCTGTATGGTTATGACGTTGTGGTTCTGGAGTAGGATGTTGTGCTGTGAGTGTTGAGCACTACTAACGTGTCCTTGTTAAAGAACGTTCCATTACAAGGGGGCGTGGTCCTGACGAGGAGCTGTATGGTTATGACATCGTGGTTCTGGAGTAGGATGTTGTATGCGATTCCTTCTTAGATGTCTCGTTATGAACAGGCCGGGCCAGGGCCATCCTGACGAGGACCTGTACAGTTGTGGTTTTGGAGGAGGATTGTCATATTGCAAGTGCCGTGTGGTAACGTAACGTCCGTGCCCGTGTTAACAATGTTGTCATTACAAAGGGGTGTGATGCTGATTACGCTCACTATGCTTGAGACAAGATCTTGTTGTGTTGCAGTTGTGTAGCGAGCCAAGCGTGTCATGTCTTCTAATAAGCAATTATGTGTACAGTGCTTACAATCATGTAAAAAGCATCATACAGCTTCACTTCTAACAGGACCCAACCCAACCCGGCCCAACCTAGCCATTCTAGGAAGCATCATGCAGGTTGAAGGTGAAGCAGAACAGGTACTGAAGGTCACGAAAAATAAGCTAAGACCACGAAAAATCAGCTGCAAGAGGTGCTACCACGGAACAAAAACCACTGAACTGTGATAGACAATCGAAGGCCAGCCCCTCCCGCCATCCTTTCATCCAGGGACCAGCAGAGATGTCAATAAGTGTAACTGAGTGATATGAGGACGGACACTCAAGAAGCTCAGGCCCTCTCTGAGGCACCTCAAGAACCCTATGTGGAACTGCTAAGAAGGAACTGGGTAATCTGAGTACAGGCACTCATGGAGCTCAGACCCCTCAAGAGGAACTGTGACGAGGAAGTGTGTCATAGGAGTACAGGTACTCGTAGAGCTCAAGACTCCTCAAGACTCCTCAAGACCACTCAAGACTCCTCAAGACCACTCAAGACTCCTCAAGACCACTCAAGAACCCTCAAGACCACTCAAAAACCCTCAAGACCACTTAAGACTGCTCAAGGGAAAGTGTGTCATAAGAGTACAGGTACTCATAGAACTCAGACTCTTCTCCCCCTCCCTTACCTGCTGTCGTTGCACCTGCTGCTGCTTCGGTTCTCTTGCTGCTATCCCTCTCTGTGCCCTCTTCTTCTTTATCTTCATAGATTTTCTTGGACGACGCGACGTTCTGTGAGACCACAGCTTGGACACGCGGCATGCGGATGGACTGGAAGGAATGCAAGGCATCGCTGCAGAGAGGGCAGAGGGGGATAGAGGGAGGGGGTTGGACGCATGTGGAGGGGGGGTTGTGATACCACGGCTTGCACACACGGCACGCGGATGGACTGGAAGGAATGCAAGGCGTCCCTGCAGATGGAGTGCGAGGGAGGGGGATAGAGGGGGGGTGGGACACACACATATGGAGGAAGGACACGCAATTCTCCTGCCCCTCATATGCTCTTTCGGACGATGCGACATTCTGTAAGACCATGGCTTGCACACGCGGCACGCGGATGGACTGGAAGGAGAGTAAAGCGTCACTGCAGATAGAGTGAGGAGGGACACAGGGGGGAAGGATAGCGAATTTCAGTCAACTCGAAACCAGAGACTGGTGGGAATGCCAAGGGGTCTCTCCAGTGAGGGTGTGGAGGGGTGGAAGGAGGAAAGGGTAAGCAACAGGGGAGTGTATGAGGGGTGGGGAGAAGAGAACAGGGAACGACGAAAAAAGAATGTGAAAAGAACCAAACAGGTCACCTGCAAGCAATCCAGCCCCTGATGCACACCGACAACCAAATAGCATGAGCGTGAGCCTACCCGACACCAGTCAACACACCTGAAAACCCACCTGATAACCAACCTGGCAACCCACCCAACAACTTACCTGGAAACCCACTCGACAACCCACCTGCCAACCCACCTCAAAACCCACCTGATAACCCACCTGACAACCCACCTGGCAATCCCTGGCAATCTCTTGCAACCCACCTGAAAACCCATCTAACAACCCACCCGGCATGGGGTTGCGCCCACCTGACATCCCACCTGAGAGCCCACCTGACATGGGTGTTCGCAAGGAGGCACTCCACCAGCTGAGCCGCATCCTCAAACGCCAGATTGGCGCCCTGCCCCAGCGCTGGCGTCACTGCATGCGCCGCATCTGGACACACAGGCAGGTGAAAAAACAGAAGGCAGAGGAGACGTTGAAAAGGCACACATGCCATCGAAAAGAAGCTGTCAAGACAGGAAGGCAGAGGAGATGTTGTAGGAAACACATGCAGACAACGATTGTTCTCCTGCCCCAGTGATGCCTCACTGCACGTGCTGCATCTGGCCGGACAGAGGACGATGCAGGCAGAATGCAGAGGGTAGGTCACTGATGGCAGCCAAAAAAACAAAACAAAACAAAAAAACAAAAAGCCAGCTCTAGCAGATGTCATACCTCCGAGGAGAGCCGTCCTGCCTTTGACCCAGAAGGGCAGGGGCGGGAGGTCGAGCACGCGGCGTTCAAGAATGAGGTCGGGGGGAGTGGCGAGCGCGAGCTGAGTCACCACATCCCACCCCTCAAACGCCTGCAGAATCTTCCCCCGCGCCTCCTCCCCCCCGCTGGACCGTGCGCTGCTGACCGTTGGATCGGCGGAATCGACGAGCGTGAACGCCCAGTAGAGCCTGCCTGCTGCAGCGTCTGATATGGTGGCTGTGCGGCCGGGGCCCACCATGGCTAGGATGTGTTGCGGATTGAGGAGCTGTGAGGAGGGAAGAAGGAGTAAGAGAGGGATGTAAAGACGAAGAATGAGGAAAGAGGAGAACAGGCTGTAAAAGGACGCTCGGTACAGCCTGCTTGCAGTGGCGTTGAAAATGGTTGCTGTGCAGCCAAGGCCAAAGTCCCACCATGGCCAAGATGTGTCGGGGCTTGAGGCGCTGTGAGGCAAAATCTTGCTGTATTTAACTAGAGAGTGGTGCTTTTGTGGTGGTCAAAGAGAGCCTTCTTGCGCGTGGTGGCGCCGGAGACGGTTGTGGTGTGGCCGGGTGTTTTTGGGTCTTCTCAAAAACACCCTGCAGCTAGATGGTTGTGGTGTGGCCGGGGTCCACCATAGCCAAGATGTGGCAGAGTCTGAGGAGCTCTGGGGAGGGTGTTACTACAAGGTCTAGGTGCAGTGCGGCTGTGGAGCTGTGAGACATGAGAGACTCTAAGTGTACCAAGAGCGTGTCGTAACTCACAACCCCACAACCGCACTGCACCTAAACCATGTGATAACTCACAACCCCACAACCGCACTGCACCCTAAACCATGTGATAACTCACAACCCCACAACCGCACTGCACCCTAAACCATGTGATAACTCACAACCCCACAACCGCACTGCACCTAAACCATGTGATAACTCACCACCCCACAACCGCACTGCACCTAAACCATGTGATAACTCACAACCCCACAACCGCACTGCACCTAAACCATGTGATAACTCACCACCCCACAACCGCACTGCACCTAAACCATGTGATAACTCACAACCCCACAACCGCACTGCACCCTAAACCATGTGATAACTCACCACCCCACAACCGCACTGCACCTAAACCATGTGATAACTCACCACCCCACAACCGCACTGCACCTAAACCATGTGATAACTCACAACCCCACAACCGCACTGCACCTAAACCATGTGATAACTCACAACCCCACAACCGCACTGCACCTAAACCATGTGATAACTCACCACCCCACAACCGCACTGCACCCTAAACCATGTGATAACTCACCACCCCACAACCGCACTGCACCTAAACCATGTGATAACTCACCACCCCACAACCGCACTGCACCTAAACCATGTGATAACTCACCACCCCACAACCGCACTGCACCTAAACCATGTGATAACTCACAACCCCACAACCGCACTGCACCTAAACCATGTGATAACTCACCACCCCACAACCGCACTGCACCCTAAACCATGTGATAACTCACAACCCCACAACCGCACTGCACCCTAAACCATGTGATAACTCACAACCCCACAACCGCACTGCACCTAAACCATGTGATAACTCACCACCCCACAACCGCACTGCACCCTAAACCATGTGATAACTCACATCCGCACAACCGCACTGCACCCTAAACCATGTGATAACTCACAACCCCACAACCGCACTGCACCTAAACCATGTGATAACTCACCACCCCACAACCGCACTGCACCTAAACCATGTGATAACTCACATCCGCACAACCGCATGAGTGAGGAAGAGCGACAGGTGAAGGAAGAGAGCGGTGGGAGGAGAACAGACAAGGCAGCATAGAAACTTTAAGACAGCTAATTTAGAATAGAAGTTGGGAACATAGAGGCAAATGTTGGCTGAAATGTGTTAGAGTAAGATTCAATCCAGCAGCACACGGTGAGAGCAGCCAACAAACAAGGCAGCAATGCAGCATGGAGGTGCAAGACAACTTACACAGGACACAAAAAGGAACTTAGATGGGTATAACTGCACACCAACAGGCACATACGGGATGGAAGCAGAGAGGCACACATACTGGATGGGGGCAGAGGCTGCTGTCGATGATGGCCCTCCAGATGGTTCTACCGTTGTCCCGCGGACTCACTCCCTCGCCTGCTGTCCCCACCAGCAGCTGCTTCCGTGCCTCCGAGTGAATGCCATCTGCCCCCAGCAGCAGCGGGGTCTGGCGAATGGGGAGGTTCAGGGAAAGAATTGTACAGTGAGCTCAGTATGGTGGAGAGTGGTCCACAACGCAAGAGAGAAGGAATGGGAGAAAGAGTTGCTGTATTTGCGTCTGGCGGGTGGAGGCGAAAGAAAGGGAGGGGTGAAATGCGGTGGAAAGAGGTCGAAGTGTGGTTAAGTGTGTGTGCAGAGCAGAGGAAGTGCTAGTAAACGGGTTGGAGTGGCAAGAGAGAGAAAAGCTCCCAAGTGGTTCCTGCTATCCCACTTCATTTCACGCCTACACCAAGAGTTGGAGAATGAGATGCACCATGTGCTTTCGGCTACACTTGTCATTACTCGCCTCCCCACCCCACCCCTCTCCTCCTTCCTCAACACACCCCACACCAAACCACACCTCACCCCTCAACACCCACCTCCACGCGCACGAGATGCTCGTTGCCGCAAGATACAGTGGAGAAAAAGCACTCCACCCTGCCTTTTCCCTCTGCCACGCTCTCCACCGCACCAGACTCCTCTCCGTTCCTTCCAGCCTCCTCCATCTGCGTGACCTTCACGAGCCGGTGGCCGGTGTGGACGGCGTCGTTCGGCAGCATTCCACGCAGCACGTCGAGCACGTCCCGCCAGCGGATGGAGAGCATGGGCAGGCCAAAGCGAGCAGTCATGGTGGCACTGTAGCCCCACGGGGCGATGACTTCGCCCGCGGGGGAGAGGAGAAAACTCGCAGGATCCGTCACACCCAGGGGAATCAGCTGGAGAGGATAGGGAGGGGAGGGAAGGGCAAGGCAGGAGATGAAGAGAAGGAAGCTGTTGCTGGAGGGCAAGGTGGCACTGTAGCCCCTTGGGGCAATCATGTCTCCTGAAGGCGAGAGGAGGAAGCTGGCCGGGTCTGTCACTCCCAGAGGAATCAGCTGGAGGAGAATGGGGTGAGGGATGGATGGGGACGGCAACATGAGCCAAAGTGTATGTTTTTTGAGAATTCTAAAAAAAAATACACTGGGGTGAGGGATGGATGGGGACGGCAACATGAGCCAAAGGGGAATGGAGGGAACAGCAGGAGCGGATGGCGAGCATGAGAAAGCGGAAGCGGGCGGTCATGGTGGCACTGTAAGCGGTTCTTGAGAACGCTCAAAAGCCACCTACGTTACTGTTGTGAGCTGCAGCCTGCAGGCATGCATCTGGCACATCACCTCACATCATATGCCTGGGGCACAATCGCAGGGTTGATTCGGTTGAGCGCCCTGAGCCCGTTGGGGAAGAGAGAGAGGAGGCATGCACGCACCTGCTACTTATTATCACATGCACGCATCACCAACACGCACAGCCTTGCCATTACTATCACAAACGACGTAATGGGAAGAGGCAGAGGAGGCACGCATGCAAGCATCACCGAGACACACAGCCATGCCATTATTATCACGAATCACATGCCTGGGGCACAATGGCAGGGTCGATTCGGCTGAGCGCCCTGAGCCCGTTGGGGAAGAGAGAGATGATGGTGCCCTCCCCTCCTCCCACCTCCTTGCGCGCCTCATACACCTGCACAAAGGTCATGGGACAAAAAGCAAGAATAGGACGTGCGTTGAGCCCGTTGGGAAAAGAGAGATGATGGTGCCCTCCCCTCCTCCCACCTCCTTGCGCGCCTCATACACCTGCACGCCAATTTTGAGACAGGACGTGCATTGAGACGTGTTGGCAAGTTGTAAGGCGCCTAAAAAAACGCGCCTCATACACCTGCACGCCGGATTTGAGACATGGTGCTGGTAGTGTAGCAGTGGTGCTGGCACTTTAGCACTCTGCAGCAGTAGCAGCAGTCCCAGCTCGCTCACCTGTGCGTCAATCCCAATGTTCCGAAGGCCGATAGCCAATGCGAGGCCGGCCAATCCTCCACCCACAATGACTGCCTCCGACACTGCTGGCCCTCCTGAGCCCGTGCTGCTTGCGGAAGCAGCAGCAGCAGAAGATGCAGAAGCGGCGACATCCCTGCGGCTGTGGTTGGCACCAGGAGCAGCAGACGCCATCGCTCTCTTGAATCTGCTGCTAATGCAGCCGCTCCTACCGTTGCTGTTCAAGCAACCTTCACAAAAGGTGGTGGTGAGGCCTATGGAGCTGCCAGGTGCGAGACGCACAGCATGTGATGCGCGTGCCTTGAATCGAACAGTCAGAGGACGGGGATTGTTGCTTGGTTGTACACGTGGTATACGCGGTCTTACTTGGCGATCAAGCAAGCACACCTTTGTGGGGCCTGCTGCTAGTCCGTAAACGCCAGAAACGGCTGCTGCAGTCATAGCCGATGCGCGTATCGAGCTGCTCTCTGTTAAATCGCTGATTTTGGAAAGAAAGAAAGAGAAGTACTGATCGTTACTGAGCACTATGTTTTATGCCAAAGCGACTCGACCCAGAGACCGTTAACCACTTATTCCAGGCGAAGGAATTTGAGACCTGCCTGGTAGTACCACGCATTGATGCGTTAAGCGTTCATCTCGAAAGAATCTCTGTCGTCCCTGTCCAATCAATTCCCCAGTCATCTGAACGTAGTAACATCGAGTTTTGGAACAAGTTTCCACGCGTTTGACACTGCTATTGAGTGCCATTGCGTGCTATTGAGAAACAGGACCTCAAAACGACGCTTCTTCCCAGATGTCGCAACAGAGTGGATCAAGGTTCGAGACATCGGAAACAGATTCGTTCCTGAACGCCCAATTCCTATTGAGACCATCTCAGTCTTGACTTGGACGGAAAGGACGGGCGACAACGAGACTCCTCGAAACGAACGTCGTCTCGAGCTATCCGAGGAACCGCGACTGGCCCCCCATGCTCCACATGGAGCCGCGAACAAGGCGGGCCGTCGTAATCTCACGAAAAAAACCTTGCTGCATATGATGACATACGCAGCTATTGTTTCTCGCCCGATTGCCAAACTTTGTCCCTAGATTCTCCCTTCCTAGATTCTCGCTTGTCTCGGGATTGCCGAAACAAGCCGACTCGTTCATGATACAGTCAAGCGTCGCTCTACAGTAAATCTAAAAGCTCTTTTTGAGCCAAAGAACTAGCTTGTACATCACTAGGATGCAGAAACCTAACAGCCCAAATTTGGCTAGTGCAACATGATTTACACTGCAATAAAAGAAAGGTACAGCTGTATATAAATCAACACCTTGGTCAACCTTAAGGCTAGAAACTGCCAGATTCAGCCACAGCAGCAGTTCTTCTTCAGCCACTTGCTTGGCAGAAATGTAGCATGGAGTTCAACAAGGAACCTTTACCAAACCAGTCAAAAGTCAACAACCAAGCTGTTATGAGCAGCCAAAGGACAAACCTGGGCATCCATACTCCCAAGTCTGGCTGCAGCAAGCCTGGCTCCACCACGCCACGTGCAGCAACTGCTGCAACCAGCACACTCATTGACTGAGGGGGATGCAGGCCACAGACCTGGGGGCGGCAAGGCAGGTGGATGTTGTAGTAAGCCTGTAAGGCCGTCTTTAATGCAGCGAGAGATGGTGTGCTGTGCATGCAAGGCAAGCAGTCCTGAGGGACGGCGCTGCAATCTGTGGCATAAATACCAGCTGTGTGTGTTGGCATAAGTAGTTAAAAGTCAACAGTGAAGGTGCTACGACTGGTCAAAGCACCAGCCTGGCCACTAGCATTCCCGAGTCGGGCTGAGGGCAAACCCCCCTTCCCCAGCCCCAGCAGCTGATGCACCCAGTGCATTCCCAGACTGAGTTGACTCTTGAGTCGACTCAAAAGTCATCTGGCTGAGGCAAACCCCCCTCCCCCAGCCCCAGCAGCTGATGCAGCCAGCGCATTCCTAGACTGAGGTGGGACAGGGCGAGGGGGGCGGCGGGGCAGGTGGGTGTTATACGGCCGTCTGTAGTGGAGAGGGTTGGTGTGCATGCGCGGCAAAGAATCCTGCGGCGAGGCGGTAGGGTCAGAGGCATAAGCGCTACTGTGTGGGTTTGCAAAGCGGTTGTGCGCGGTATGGGAGGGAAGGGAGGGGTTTGCAGGGTCGTAGTAGGAGGGAGGAGGGGAGACGTGAGAGAAGGAAGGAGAGCCGGCGAGAGCAGAGGGTGTGTTGGAGGGAGGAGGGGAGACGTGGGTGGTGCTTCCTGGGTGCTGCTGCTGCGTGTGGCGTTGGGAGGTTTGGAGGGCTTGGGGGGTTTGGTTAGAAGGTGGATAGAACAATGCGTTAGAGGTGGGAAGGAATGGCTCTGTGGAGGAAGTTAGGAGGGAAAACTGCTGCAGCTGCTGTTGGTGTTTCTGTTGCTGCTGCTGCTGCTGCTGCTGCTGCTGCTGTTGCTGTTGCAGTTGCTGCTTCTGTTGCTGTTGCAACTGCTGTTGTTGTTGCTGTTGCTGTTGTTGTTGCTGCTGCCACTGATGCTGCTGCCGCAGCTGATTCCCATCACTCTCCTCTTGCTCAGCATGCACTCGCATCACCTCCCGAGCTCGCACACTCACCCCCCCACCAGGGACCTCCTGCCTCTCCTGCTCGAATGAAAACATGTCGCCACTGTCACAGTCCAATACAGTAACAACACTCTCATTTCCACGGCCCAATGCCGGAGCTCTTTCCTCTGCCTCACCAAGCTTCCAAACCGGTTGGCCAGCCTCAGGGACTTCCCGAGCCTCCGGGTTGAAGGAATTGGGGGAAAAGAATGTGGGGGAGAGAGGCGGTTGCTGGTTATATGGAGGGGCTGTGTGGGGAGAGCGCAAGGGGGAGTGTGGGGGGAATGAGGGATGGGATGGGGAGTGTGCATGGGGGGAGTGAAGGGGGGAATGGGGGGAGTGCAGTACTTGTGTGGGGGACTGTAGGGGGGAATGGGGAGTATGGGTGAGGCCATGGGGGGAGTGCATAGGAGGGTGGGGGGAGAGTGGGGCAGCATGAGGGGAGTGCATGGGCGCATGGGGGGAGTGCATGGGCGCATGGGGGGAGTGTGGGGTAGCATGGGGGGGTTGCATGGGCGCATGGGGGGAGAGTGGGGCAGAACGTGGGGAGTGCATGGGCGAATGGGGGGACTGCATGGGCGCGTGGGGGGAGTGCAAGGACGCATGGGGGGAGTGCATGGGCGCATGGGGGGGGTGCATGGGCGCATGGGGGGAGTGCATGGGCGCATGGGGGGAGTGCATGGGCGCATGGGGGGAGTGTGGGGCAACACGTGGGGAGTGCATTGGAGAACGGGGGGAGTGCATGGGCGCATGGGGGGGGTGCATGGGAGCACGAGGAGAATGAAGGGGCGAATGGGGGGAGTGAGTGAGCGTGTGCTGAGAGTGAGGAGGGTGAATGGGAGCTTGAGCAGGCATTTCCTGCATTTCAAACGGCCCATACACGCCCTGGGAGGGGCTAGCAGGTGCATGCTGCACCAATGCTGGGACAGGGCTGGTTGGGACATGCATGAGCGCATGAATAGGGCTGGATGGGGGAGCATGCTGTATGGCCATGCTGTGAGGGGAGGTAGCCTGCTGCCACTGCTGCCCCTGCCCCTGCTGCTGCCCCTGCTGCTGCCCCTGCTGCTGCCCCTGCTGCTGCTGCCACTGCTGCCCCTGCCCCTGCTGCTGCCCCTGCTGCTGCCCCTGCTGCTGCCACTGCTGCTGCTGCTGCCCCTGCTGCTGTTGCCGCTGCTGCTGCTGTCCCTGCTGCTGCCACGGCTGCTGCGACTGCTGCTGCTGCGCCTGCTGTGGTGAGAGTGGCGACAGGGGGGGCCTATGCTCTAACCGATGTGAGCTCAACTGCTCCCGAGAAAGGGGGGATGAAAGAGGAGAAAGAGGAGAACGAGCGGACGGAGATCGCAAGGGAGGGGTAGGAGGAGGGGGCAGGCCGGCATAAGGGCTTCTGGCAGAGGGAGAGCGGATTGCAGTCTGGTTGTGAGGGCTTAAAGCCCCGCTTTTGGGGCTGGACTGGTTGAAGATCTGATTTGGAGATGCACGAGGGGGGCATGCCACTGGGCCCGGCCTCTGTGCCCTGTAGCTGCTGCTGCTGCTGCTGCTGCTGCTGCTGCTGCTGCTGCTGCTGCTGCTGCTGCTGCTGCTGCTGCTGCTGCTGCTGCTGCTGCTGCTGCTGCTGCTGCTGCTAGCGCTGTTGCTGCTGCTGCTGCTGCTAGCGCTGTTGCTGCTGCTGCCGCCACTGCTGCTGTTACTGATGCTGCCAGTGATGCTGCTAGTGCTGCTGCCGCTGCAGCTGCTGCTGCTGCTGCTGCTGGCGTAAGCAGCGAGAGCATTGACAGAAGGGAGGGCAGAAGCAGCGCGGCGGGCAGCACGAGGAGCCTGCAGAGGCCCTGACAAGGCCCGGCGCTTCGGAGGCGCATCCAGGCCCGGCCGAAGCGGGGAGGAGGACGAGGAGGAGGGTGAGGAGGGGGTGGAGGGCCGGGGAATGTGCTCCTCTTGCGTTGGATCAGCAGGGAGGATAGAAGCAGAGCGGCGGACAGCAGAAGGAGCATGCAAAGGGCCTGAAAGGGCACGGCGGGAGGGAGGCGCACCCAGCCTGGGGTGAATCGGGGAGGGGGGAGAGGTGGAGGAGGAGGTGGATGGTCGCGAAATCTGCTCCTCTTGGATCTGGTCAGGAGTGTCGGAAGGAGAGGAAGGATCAGGCCGTTCCCCAACGGGAGAGCTGGGGACATGTTGAGAGGAAGGGTTGAGCCGTTGCCCTCTTGCCTGCCCCTGCTGCTGCTGCATCTGCCCCTGTTGCTGCTGCATCTGTCCCTGCTGTTGCTGCATCTGTCCCTGCTGTTGCTGCATCTGCCCCTGCTGTTGCTGCATCTGCCCCTGCTGTTGCTGCATCTGCCCCTGCTGTTGCTGCATCTGCCCCTGCTGTTGCTGCACCGACCCCTGCTGATGCTGCATCTGTTGCTGCATTTGCATCTGTTGCTGCATCGGCCCCTGCCCCTGCTTCTGCACCTGCCCATGCTGTTGCATCTGCTCCTTTGCCTGCCCAAGTCCCTGCCCTTGCAGCTGCATCTGCCCTTGATGCTGCATCTGCCCTTGATGCTGCATCTGCCCTTGATAATGCATCTGCCCAACCATCTGCCCCTGTGCCTGCCCCTGCATTTCCCCCTGATGCTGCAACTGCCCTTGGACTCTAAATTGCTGCTGCCGCCCAGAAGAGGACAGAGAGGGTCGCTGGGCAGCAGAGGAGGGTCGCTGGGAAGCAGAAGAAGGCCGCTGGGCGGCAGAAGAAGGCCGCTGGGCGGCAGAAGAAGGCCGCTGGGCGGCAGAAGACCCCTGGGTGGCAGCAGAAGTCCGCTGGGCGGCAGCTGAAGGTTGCTGGGCAGCGGAGGACGGCCGCTGGTAAGCCGAGGACGACGTACGCTGGAGACTTCCAGGACCAAGGCGGGAGGGAACGGCAGGAAAGGATGAAAGAGCGTCAGGCGTCTGGACGCGATTCAGCTGCGTTGGGTCGTCGGTGTGCTGCCGCAGCAGGCGGCGGTTACCCTGGGTAGAGTTAGGGTTATCCCGGCCACGGCCACTGCCAGGAGCAACACCACCTGCAGCACCAGCAGAAGAGCCACTAGCACCACGACCACTGCCAGTGCTGTAACCAGCTCGTCTAGAGGCACCTGGGGCGTTGCCAGTTGCAGCTACAGGAGCCAGTCCCTCATCCTCCTCCTCCTCCTCCTTCTCCTTCTCCCAATCCTCTTCCCCTGATCCTGATACGAGTTGCACTGATCCTGCTCCTCCTCCTGCTGCTCTTGCTGCTGCTGCTGCTGATGAAGGTGCTGCTGCTGATGAGGGTCGGAACTTCTCATAGTTCCGGAGAGAGAGAGTAGCAGACGGAGAGCCTGAGACTCGACCAGCACCACCACCACCGCTACCCCTACCACCACCACCACCACTACCCCTACCACCACCCCTACCCCTACCTCTGCCCCGGCTGCCCAGCCGGTCACTACTTACCCCGGCTGCTGACACAGAAGAACCAGCAGCCCTGGGCCCTATAGCACCTGTGGTAACCCCTGTGGTAACCCCATCGCCCATTGCCACACTCCCCGTGCCGCCCGTATTCCACTCCTGACCTTGCCCAGCCTCCACACCCCCGGGTAAGCCCCCACCTGAGTCATCTACATCTCTATCCACGTCAGCGTAAACGTCACCCCCCTCCAGCTGCCCCATAAAAGCCCCAGCGTTGCCGAGCGATGCCGACCGCATAATAAATGCTCTACCGGCCCTGCCACCCGCCCTGCTGCCCGCCCTGCCGTCCGCCCTGCCGCCCGCTCGCCCCCCTCCTGCTGCTGCTCCTCCCCTTGCTGCTGCTGGCGAGCCCCTGTAAGTGCCATACCCCTGCCTCTCCCCCCTATTCCCTTCGCCATTCCCACCACCCCCAGCAGCCCCGCCATCCCCACCAGGCCCATCAACCCCACCAGCCTCGCCAGCAGCACTGAAAATACCATGAACAGCATCAAACCCATGACCCGCAGAGCCAGCACTAGCACCAGTACGACCCACACTAACACCAGCTTCTGAGCTCTCCTTTTCTCGCCCTTGCCACAACCTGTCAGTGAAAGGGTCATGCGAAGCACTTCTGGGCACACCCCTACCACCTCCTCCTAAACTTCCTTTACGCTGCCCCCCTTGCCCTGGCTCCACCCCTACTACCCCATGCTGCTGCTGCAGCTGCTGCTGCTGCTCCGCCAGTCGTCGCCTGTACTCCTCAAACTTGCTCACATACGCCACGGCAGACGCCCGCGAGCCTGTGCCCGTGGACGGCCGAGATCCGCCGGCTGCCTGCTGCATGGACGGCTGAGATCCGCCTGCCAGCGCCTGCGGCCGAGCGCCTGTGCTTTGCTGTGCGCTCGTGCTTTGCTGTGTCGTAACGTGCTGCTGCTGCTGCTGCTGCTGCTGCTGCTGCTGCCATTCCTTTCCTGGGTCGACCACGAGAATCTGAGCGTCAGGACTTGTTCCAATCCCGAGGGGCTGTGCCTGTGCATATTGCTGCGTCGGCTGCTGCTGTAGCTGGTGCTGTTGACTACCCGTTGCGGCCTCACTGTCTCCTGCATCCAATTGATCAACCCCGGACGCGTGAAGGGCTCCATTGACAAACCCCTGAAAACCGCCAACAGAAAGATCAGCAGCACCAGCAGTAGCAGCAGCAGCAGCAACAGTGGTGGAAGGAGCAGGGCTGGCGGTGCCAGTTGCTCTCAGGAACCCATCCATGCTCGTCTGGCTTAACGAGTACGCCCTTGGCCTCTCTGTACCGGACCCAAACCGTATTGACTGCATTGACCGCGTTGACTGACTCTTGAAACCATCCGCCCCTCCTTCTGACCCCTGAGGCGCCTCAAAAGTCGACCTTGGCCTCTCTGACCATGATGCAAACCGCATTGACTGCATTGACCGCGTTGACTGATTCTTGAAACCATCCGCGCCTCCTTCCGACCCTGACCTCCCTCCCCCGCCCCTCTGCCCTGCACCGTAACAAGCCCCTGCACCGTAACTCCCCACATCAAAACTTCCTCCACCAGAATTCCCCCTACCGTAATTCACTCCATCAGTCCCGGATACACCTGCCCCAGATTCCGCCGCATTAGATCCCATCGGATCAGATACCACCTCCCCCTCCAGCGGCTCCCCATCGTCCTCCTCTAGGTCCGCCTGCCACGCCCTGTGCCTCCGCCCGCTCTCTGACGCCATCCGCGGAAGCCTAAACCTCGCTATAGCGGACTTCGATAACGGCAACGGAAGCCCTGCCTTCGGCCCCGCAGAACTTGCGGCCTTTCCGCCTGAAGGGCCCAGCCCTCCGCCTGAGGCCTCCAGCCCTCCACAGTAGGGGGAGGGGGAGGAGGTAGGGACGGCCGCGGCAGCAGCAGGACCAGCGTAAGGGCTAGCGTACGGGCTGGCGGAAGGGCTGGCGGAAGGGATGGCGGAAAAGCTTGCGCCACTGGCGGAGAAGCTCCGCTGCCGTGAATATGACGGTCCCTGGGGGGGATTTCGGTTTGGAGTTTGGTTAGGAGTCTGGTTCAACGGTAGGAAAACACTCCCCCCAGAACTTGCGCTTCTCCCAGCGGAACCGCCGCTTCCCCTTCCGCCAGCCCCGCGGTTCGTCCCCGCTGCTCCCCGCTGGCTTCCGCCACTGGCTTCCCCCGGTTCCCTCCCGTCGTCCGCGGAGCTTCCCCCCGCGCCACCCGCACCGCTTCCCCCGGCGCCACCCACGGAGCCCCCGAACATCTGATGCAGCGCGTCTGACGCGGAACGCGCCAAGCCCCAGTGTGATCCGACGCCAGCGGAACGGCTACCGGCGCTCCCGCGCGAGAGCCCCGCGTGGGAGGCATCGGCGGAAGCTGCGGGGCTGGCTGCTGCGGAGAAATCTCTATCCGCGGGGACTTCCAGTCCAGTACAGAAAGAATCCTGCGCCGTCTGCGCTGCTGCGCCGGCAGCCTCTCCGCCGCGCACCTGCTGCGCGCCTCCGCGAGCCTCTCCGCCTTCGCCGCCGCCGGACGGCTTGAACGAATGCGCGGGTTTCGGGTCCTGCGCGAGCGAGCGCACGAACGTCTGGAAATCCATGGCGGAAAGCGACGTGGCGCGTTGGACCTTGTTCCACACGCGCTGCCGCACGCTGCCGGAGCGCTGGCGATTTTGATTGGACGATCTAAGGAAATTAACGGCGCATCCGGCGGGCATTGTGGGAGACTGAAGCGAGTCATCGTACACGTCGTCCAAGTTAATAAATGTTCCGCCATGGTTTTGTTGGTGCTGCTGGTAGGATTGGTCATTGTTCTGTAGGTATAGTGGAGCGGAGTGGAAATCGGGGTTGTTAGGGTTGTCGTTATCCGCGCGTGGCGACTCCACCCATAACTCGTCCATAGTTTTTGAATTACAAGAGTGGTAACCAATTCAGCTCAATCACCATCGTCTATACGTAGGACCGCATCGTTCGTGAATGGCGAACGGCTTTGGATGGCATATACATCAGTCCATTATAATCAACATCACCCTTGAGCAAATCACTTACGTATAGCACCACAAACTCAAAACATGGTCCAGAAATTCTCCGAGCTCTTCAAGCTTTCTCGCAGGTGGTGGTGAGTCTGATGCCCTGCTGTTGCTCCCAAGGTGACCAGGACCAACCAAAGAAGCTCCACTTTCCTCTCCCCGAACCCGAACCGAACTGATCACTCACTGCGAGGAGTTTCCAAGGCCGTGAGGAATGGATCAGGGCTTGGGACGGAATGTGGTACAACACAAGTAACCTGTTTAATTTTAATCGGTTCAGAGGCATCTACAGCGTTACAGAGCGTTCTATTTCCGTACATCAACAATGCACATCATTTTTTTTTTTTTTTGCTTATATATGCTATACACCAGTACAGAAGTGTATATCACATAAACAGTCGTAACTGTACGTGAGAAGCAGGATGCCTGCCTCCGAGAAATCCGATCCTTACATGTGGATCCGGGGCCTGTGTGGCTTGCCCCAAATTGCTGCGAATTTGGCCGACCACCGCCAGCCCTTGCCCTCCACCACCCTGATGCGGTTCAGAAGACGCTGTTCCTGATTCGTCATCACGTGCCATCTGGCTTGCTGCACCTTCCCCTTCTGTTGCAGCTTTCCCGCTGAGGCACGCACGTAAATGTTGACATGCATGCGCAGAGCAGTTTCAATCCTCCGCAGTACCCGCCTCGTGCGAAATTTACACCCGCGAAAGGCCCCTTCACACCTCTCCACCCATAGTTGATGCAAAGCGATAGAGATCAGAGTCGCCTCGGGGAATGCTGACGTGGAGTTTGCCTTTCCGAACAGCCAGTCCCCCAGCGATTCCGCCCGCCTGCCAGGATTAATCATGCGCAGGGCCTTCTTCACTGCTGCAACCACCACCCGGATCTTTGGGCACTCAGAAAAACAGTGCTCCAATGTTTCAAAGACCCCACAGAAAGGACACACCGGCCCACTGCTGAGAAAGGGGATTCTCTCCCCGACTTGCAGATTCAGACTGTGGATTCTTAGCAAAACATCCCTTGGCCTGCTGGGGGTGACTAGCGATTCCCGGGTTTTAACTGCCCGCTTCCAGTCTATACGACCGCCCCATCTGTCCTCCCACTTTTCCGCCTGGACTGCCCGCTGCTGCCATGCCCCCAACAGGACCTGAGTGACTTCATCGGCGCAACCTCCCCCTTCACCAGGAGTTTGTTGCGCAACTGCTTTGACCCCTCTCTCCCTGCCACATACACCTCTGCAAAGCCCATCTGCGGTAACTCAGCTGAGAGAAGCAATCCCCTCCAAGCTTCTGGTGCTGCAGCAAAGGCCTCCAGTGCCAGCTTCGCAGCCTCCATCCCCAGCAGCTCCCTCTCCAGAGTGACCAGGTCCTTTAGCGTGCCCCTCCCCTCCTCATCTTTCCGGATCAGATCCCCCAGCCTTACTTCTCGCAGCCGTTTCGCCGCCTTTTGTCCCCCAAATGGCGTGGAGCCTTTCCGAAGAATGTGTCTGTTAAACACAATTCTCTCCAGCCCCACCTCCTCTTTGCTTCGCTCCGCCCCTGTCACCGCCAGAGGAGAGCGCATGAAGTTTTCACATGCCAACTTCCACCGCTGGCTCTTCCCCTCCCAAACTTTCAGAAGCTTCTCGTGCGACATAAAGGTATCGAGCCCCAGTGGTAAGTCTGCTGCCTGCCGTAGCAAATTCCGTTTTAGCTGACTGGACTCATTGAGTATCAACCCAATCCTCCTGGCTGTGAAGCAGGTAAGCATAGCTTCTGGGTCTTTTGCCCCCACACCTCCTTCCAACACCGGCGTGTACAGCAGCTCCTTACTCCATAGGAAGAAACATTTCTCCGTTGTAACCTTGTTGGCTGACATGAAAGTGTGCGACAGCTTCGTTATAACCCCCCAGGTCCGAGCAGGCGGCGGGTACACCTGGGCCTGCGACCAGGCTATCGGCATGATGTAACCATCCATCACAGCTCTCCTTGCTTTAATCGGCAGATACTGCGGCTGCCACAGGGACATCTTCCCCACAATCCTCTCCAGGGCCTTGTCCCAGGTCGGCTGGCAGCTTCCGCTGGGCGTGACCCAGATACCAAGAAGCTTTTCAGCCTCATCCGCACTTGCCCATCTGAAGCCACCTGTGCGCCAGGTCTTTTTGCCAAGGTTAACTCCTAGCGGAAGCACCACCGATTTATCTTTATTCGTCGCCAACCCAGAGATGTTCTTGAACTCCTCCAGTACTTCCTCCGCTTTGACGATTTGCTGTTTTCCCTGAAGTAGGAGAGTAGTATCATCGGCATAACCGACGTAAGCCAGCCGTTGCTCAGTACAACCCCTGATGGTAATTCCCAACTTCTTCTTTTCCACCGGCTGCACCAGAGGTTCCACCGCACAAAGAAACAAGTAAGGGGGGATGGGACACCCCTGCCGGACTCCTGATACCACATCCACTGCTTCCCCCATCCATCCGTTAACTAATAAACTTGTGCGCGTGTTGTCGTGCAGTCCTTTCACCCACCCGACAAAACGCTCCGGAAAGCCCATCTTCTTAAGGACCTCAAAGGTGAAGTCCCGGGAAACTGAGTCAAAGGCTTTCCTGAAGTCGACCAGCAGCATATACCAGTCCTCCATGCCATTCTTTGCCGCGTCGATGACATCCGCTACAAGCCCCACCGCATCCGACACCCTTCTCCCCGGTATGAAGCCAAACTGCTCCTCCGAGATGACTTTGTGAAGCACCTTTTTAATTCTGCTCGCCAGCACCCTTGCCAATACTTTGTAACTGAAGTTCAGCAAGGTTATCGGTCGGTAGTTCTCTAACTGCTCTTTTGCTCCCTTTTTATGCAGAAGAATGGTTACAGCGTCCTTAACGCTAGTCGGGAGCGACGATGAGGAGGTGAAGCTCTGTACCAGCTCCATGAGGTGTTTCCCCAGTACGTCCCAATGTTGCTCAAAAAGTTCCTTCGGTAGCCCATCCTTCCCCGGAGATTTATTGTCAGCCATCTCCTTGAGAGCACGCTTCACCTCTGCTTCTGTCCAGTCCTCCTGCAAACACTCCGCCTCCGAGAACCAAAGCCTTTTCCCCGCTGCTGGAACCCAGTTTGAGAGTGCCGTCCTCTTATCCTCCCCAAAGAGACCGCTGTAGTATTCAGATGCCGCCTTCAAAATCTCTTTTGGCTCAGTTACCACCCCCCCGGGAACCGCCAGCTCCGTTATCTGTGTCTTAACCCTCCGCATCTTAATCCTCGCTGAGAGGTGAGGAGACGGGATTTCACCGACTAGCTCCTTGGCCATTCCCGCCATAAGGTGATTCCTCTCTCGCCGACATGCGTGATACTCTTTTAACTGCCGCTCCGCCTTCCTTAATCTCTCTTTTAGCGGTTGATCTTTTGGGTTGCACATGAATTCTTGCGCCAACCCTGCGACCATTGATGAAAGGTGATTGATCGTCGCCCTTATCCTTTTGCTCTCCTCCTTGGAGTAACGACGAAGGCTGATATTCAGGCGAGATATCAGAGCCTCAAAATCACCGCCTTTTTGTGCAACCTGCCCCTCCACCTCTTCCGTAAGCTTACGGACACCTGGTCTGTGCAGCATGGATAGGTGCATGCGCCATAGCCCCGGGCCCGTGCGCAGCTGCGATTTGATCTTGAAGGCGATGCGAATGGCGAAGCCGTGGTCAGAGACTGGCTCCTCAGGTTTGACATGAGAGGCGGATATGAGACGCGGAAGCAGGGACTGAGAGACCAACGCTCGATCAATCCGAGTGCTTTCCTGGTGTACCTGCGAGAAGAAGGTGAACTCGCGCTTGAAAGGGTAAAGAGAGCGGAATGCATCAGTTATGTCAAAGTCCTTGCATCTCTGGGAGAGAGAGTCGTTTTCCTTTGACGATCCTTGCTTCGAAGTCTTATCTAACACTGGGTTCTCGACTATGTTGAGGTCTCCTATAATGAGCAGGTGGGATCCGCGCGGGATGAGGTCAACCGTGGGTCCTAGTACTGTCTTGATGAATGCTCTACGCAAGGCCTTGTCCGACGGGAAGTATATCGCGAGCAGGGTGAGGCTCAGGCTGGCACACTGGATCTCAGTCTTCACTAATCTACCTGAAGGATGCGCTAGCGGATTGTGGAAGGAGAGGTCGGTCCTGCGGCTAAGGATCGCTACACCCCCAGCTCGAGTAATCGGAGTGGTAGCAGCAAAGGAGGTGAGATTAAGGGTGGACCAATAAGGGTGGTCTAAGGCTATCCTAGTGTCTGAGAGTATCATCACATCTGCCGCTTTCGTACTGTAAGTCCAGTCAGTTGTTCGTTTCCGTTTGTTACTGTCACCCAGGCCGTTGACGTTCAGGCCCGCAAAGGAGAGGGTGTTCCGTGTATTCATTTAATCACAGCTTGATCACCTCTACGCATCCACAGGCAGGTAAAGCAAAGTACAGCAACCACCGACCATCCGACTGCTACTGCCGCTGAGACTCGAGTCACAAACTCTAAATCTCGTACTCCTTGCGAATCCCCTTCAGGTTCACTGTCCCCAGGGTAGCACGCGTGACAGCACCTATCTCCTCCTGACCGTGAAGGTGTCGAGCCGAGGTGATATGTTCTGCAGCAGCAACAAACAGCTTTCCGTGCGCCTTTCCGCAGCTCAGCTGTGTGCATACCCACTCCTCCCTGGTATTTCCAGTGGAAATCAGCACAATCGCA